AAGCTGGACTAGAAGATATTTAAAGTCATTTCCAGGTCTGAAATTCTATGTTTTATATCTCATTTATCATCTCAGAAAAGGATGAAAATATCTAACTTGTACCTTAGAACAAAATAAACTCCAGATGGGGCCGGCCCGGTGGCGCACTGGAGAGTGCGCCGCTTGGGAGCATGGCGACGCTCCCGCCGAGGGTTCGGATCCCACATACAGACCGGTTCCCGCTCACTGGCTGAGCGAGGCGCGGGAGCGACGCTGAGGGCTGCGATCCCGTTGCCGGTCCCGGTCCGGTACGGGGGCGACACTGAGGGTTGCGATCCGTTGCCGGACACAGAAAAAAGACAAAAAAAAAAAAAAAGAATATGATATATCAAATTATTGTTTGTTATTGTTTACCTATGACACAGAAAAAAAAGGAAGAAACAGTGTGTCACTTCTGTCTACAAATTTCTTCTGGTTTCTTCATTTCTTTGCCCCCTCTACCTCTGGGGATCCATTGTTTAAATACAGTAATAATACAGTGTTGCCACTGTCCCCTAATAATCTTCAATTTGTCTAGACTGAAGTATTTTTGTTTGTTTGTTTCTCAGAGCAGCCAACTTCAGCTCTTATCTGCCCCATGTCTTACAGCAGTTTTCCCTTGAGTAACCCTCTCTCAGATTCTGTTGATTTTACCGTAGAAATACCTTTATGTACATAGCAGTAGTGATAATGACAAAATTTACCTACTATCTTTAGAAAAAGCAGAAGACACAGACATAGATGAGAGGACCAAAGGGATTCTCAGTAAATGACAGTATGAAATAAGAAGAAATAGTTTCTGAGAATACTAATATAATGAAGCAAGAAAATAAGTCAGACATTTGAAATTTACTAAATGAGTTAAAACAAGAAAAGAGAATATGTAGCATCACATGTATACTGTGTTCTGTCCTATAGAAACTGTGTACTGTACAGAGTGTCAACTGCAGAGACATTGAAGGGCGTCAGTCTACACCACTCCACTTTGCAGCTGGGTACAACAGGGTGTCAGTGGTGGAATATCTGCTGCAACATGGAGCTGATGTGCATGCTAAAGATAAAGGGTAAGTACCAACAATTGCCATGGCCTCTGTTTTTCTTCCCTTTATTTGACCTTTTTAGGAAAATCTGAAAATATTTGTAAGATAATTAGTAGCTCTTTTTTTCCCAGGGAAGTTTGATTCCTAACATTGGCTTAAATATAGATTCTTAACTTCAGTTAAGATTTTTACTATGGTTAGTGTTTATATGAAGACTTACTTGGATAATGCCTTGTATTTTTATAATGGCCACAGAGATTACAACATTAGTGTTCTGTTAATGTAGTAACTTTTTCAATTTTCATTGAAGATATTTGAATTCTTCTAGTTTATCTTGAAATTATTTTTTATTAAAAATACACAATTCTAGTACCAGCCAGCTACCAAAAAATGTGTGTGTATACAGTTCTACAATTGTGTGTGTGTGTATATATATGTACACAATTGTACTTATCTATACAATTCTACACACAATTCTAGATGTTGAGTATGTGCAGGTTGCTATATTCTCAGCATTTAAAATGTTCTTAAAATTTTCTCTCTGCTTCGCCCCCCCTAAAAGAATTTCACTTCTGTTTTCAGTAGATTTAGGTTCTATAAAGTACAATCAGTGAAATCTCTTCTGCAGTTTAAGAAATATCTTTTATCAGTTATATATAGTTAGTCAAATTAAAACATATCCTTCTGTGGCATTATTGTTCATTTAACTTCATTTCAGAGGCCTTGTACCTTTGCACAATGCATGTTCTTATGGACATTATGAAGTCGCAGAACTTCTTGTTAAGCATGGAGCAGTAGTTAATGTAGCTGATTTATGGAAATTTACGCCTTTACATGAAGCTGCAGCAAAAGGAAAATATGAAATTTGCAAACTTCTACTCCAGGTATACTTAAGTACTTGCTGGGGACAGTTTTAATTACATAGAATATGTTTATGATTTTCAAACTGTAGCATATACTTAACCTAGTAAGAGAGAGAAGCAGAGTTACCTAACTGTGTACCTAGATTTCAGAATAAATGTCGTTATCACTATTTTGTATTTTAATATACAAGTATGTTTACCACACACAGATTTATTTTTGCATACAGTAAACTATCATGTGATAGTTCTCTGATTATTATCTCTATTTTTCCTGTTTTGTTCTTTAGCCTCAAAATATTTGATGAATTATGAGGTTTATAAGCCAGATTTATTTAGCACTGATGAAACTGATGGTACTAGTTTAATGCAGGTACCAATAGATACTTTATAGTAAAAACAAGAGGATAGATTTATTCTTTATTTCAATGTTTGTGTAAAGCAAAAGTAGTATATGTGAAAGTTAATTTTGGGGGCTGTCCAATTGGCTCACTTGGTTAGAGCGCAGCCTTGTAACACCAAGGTCAAGGTTTTGGATTCCCATGCTGGCCAGGCGCCAAAAAAAAACAAAAATAAATTGGGAGCTGGCTGGTTAACAAAAAAAAAATTGGGAGCTGGCTGGTTAGTTCAGTTGGTAGAGCACAGCCTTATCACAAACTGGCCAGCCACAGAAATAAAAAATAAAGTTAATTTTTTTTTTTTTAAGATGATCTTAACCAAAAATAAATTGGGAGCTGGCTGGTTAGTTCAGTTGGTAGAGCACAGCCTTGTCACGAACTGGCCAGCCACAGAAATAAAAAATAAAGTTAATTTTTTTTTTTTTAAGATGATCTTAACCCTTGACTTGGTGTTGTTGGCACCATGCTCTCCCAAGTGAGCCAACCAGCCATTCCTATATAGGGATCCGAGCCCATGGCCTTGATGTTAACAGCACCACACTCTCCCAAGTGAGCCACAGGCCAACCCTTAAAGTTAATTTTTAATGAAACAGTACTTTATTTGGAACATAGTGTTAAATTTTGATTCTATTAATGCATTATAAAAACCCAATAGTATTTAATTGCCTTTCTATTTTTTTTATTACAGTTTTCTGTGTATAAATTAAACATTAATAACAATCATATTAACTTTTAAGGGAGAGTCTCACTATAAAACAATATTCTTTTTGTTTAATTACATTGACTTTTTAATCATTGACCAAGGACACACTTGAGCCAATTCCTCCTCTCTCCTCTCTTTTACATGCCCAGCATGGTGCGGACCCTACAAAGAAAAACAGGGATGGAAATACCCCTTTGGATCTTGTTAAAGATGGAGATACAGATATCCAAGATCTACTTAGGGGTGATGCAGCTTTGCTAGATGCTGCCAAGAAGGGTTGTTTAGCCAGAGTAAAGAAGTTGTCTTCACCTGATAATGTAAACTGCCGAGATACCCAAGGCCGACATTCAACACCATTACATTTAGCAGGTAAGTGAATTAAGTTTCACAGATTTCAGTTGGTGACATCTGATATTAATTTACCTAAGTAAAATACTTTCTGTAACTAAACTTGAAAGATTCAAATCAGGTATCTTCTAATGCCATTGTACTGGGCAACCATGCTTCGAGCTGTTAACTAAGTTCCAGTTTGTTTTAGTACCAGTATGTTACATAAGAACTATTAAAACAGGCTTTGCCAGTCACCATGTGCTTTGGGATCTTTATTCCAGATCACCATATTGTTTAAGTCATCTTTGGTGAGTGAGTTTTGAAAAATATGCCTGCTTGAGCCAGCCCTCTTCATAGGAAGCTAAAGTTTTCCATTCTTCTGATTATTACTGCTAAGCACAAGCAGAAAACAAAATCTTAAAAGACTTTCAGGAGTTACATAACCCTCTTGCCAAAGTTATTAGTTTTAGTTTGCAAGGGCTACCATAGCCTTTAGTTAGTTTTAGTTTGCAAGGGCTACTGTAATAAAATACCAAAGACCAGGTGGCTTAAGGCCCTGAGACCCACTCTGGTGTGCTGCCTCCTGCTCTGCAGCCACTTGTGTTCCTAACTTGGCCTTTATATACTGGATGACTTTGACTTGCAGCCCCTGAGACCATGTATCTGAGTTCAGGAAGTTGTATGTAACAACCATGAAGGCAGGGACTTCATTAGGAAGGTATTAAAAGGAAAGGTACAAGCAAATCAGTATAATAGACTCTAATGAGGAATTTCAGGTTTATAAAAAATCTTTTTATTTTTTCAATTATGTCTGTGCTTTATAATATATATATATAGATGTATACATATATGTGACTATACTTTTTATATCAGTAAGTAAAAGTAATTTTACTTCTTTTCTAAATTAGCTGGTTATAATAATTTAGAAGTTGCAGAATATTTGTTACAACATGGAGCTGATGTGAATGCCCAAGACAAAGGAGGACTTATTCCTTTACATAATGCAGCATCTTATGGGGTAAGTTCTTCTGTGAAAGTCAGTATCGAATTAAATGGAATTTGGTTTGACTTTCTCATTTTACAGAGAAGTAAATATGAGAGCTAAAAAAATTAAGTAACTTCCAAGTTTCACTTCTGAATCTATTGCAAGCTTGCTCTGTGATACGCAGCACATTATTGTCATTTGTTTTATTATATTCCTTAGCATTTATCTCCTATTTTCAGTGAGATGTTGGTGATTTTATTATTGTTTTATCCCAGAAAACCCATGGGTTTCACAGGAATCCGTAGAAATTCAATGCATTGTTCCTGACTTACAGCAACACTAAATGTTACAATCAGTATTGACTATCATCAGAGGAAGGCTTCTAGTTTATAAATTGATGTTCAAATTGTGAGGTTTTTTTGGCAGCTGCTTAGTATGAGGATCTGAACCTGTGACCTTGGGGTTATAAGGCTGCACTCTAATCAACTAAGCTAACCAGCCAGCACAAATTGGAGTAAATTTTTTTTTCTGGGTGGCTGGCCAGTAGAGGGAACCAAACTCTTGACCTTGGCATTGTAAGGCCACACTCTAATCAGACCTTGGCATTGTAAGGCCACACTCTAATCAACTGAGCTAACCAGCCAGCCATAGTGGTTATAGCACTTGAACAAATTACAAATCAGTGAAGTTGTATTAGTTTAGCTTCTCACTATATAGAGTCCTTATCTGTTTAATCTAGATGGTTTCTCAAGTTACCGAAATGACTACTGTACTTTTTAATGAACTACCCATAAATTATGATATTGGAGAGAAACAGTTTTTCTTTTCCAGAGTAAGTTTGAAAATGTGGAAATAGGTACATAGTTAGTTTCTTCTTAAGAACTAAAATGTGATAGAACAATATTTCAGACTGTAACAGGAGTATTTTCTTTTACAGCACGTAGATGTAGCAGCTTTATTAATAAAGTATAATGCATGTGTCAATGCCACGGACAAATGGGCTTTCACACCTCTGCACGAAGCAGCCCAAAAGGGACGAACACAGCTTTGTGCTTTATTGTTGGCCCACGGAGCTGATCCTACTCTTAAAAATCAGGAAGGACAAACACCTTTAGATTTAGTTTCAGTAAGTGATGGGCTTTTTGAAAAATCTCATTACTTTTCTGATTTTTTAAAATTTACTTGATATATATAAAATGTGTTCATAGCAAATGTGGCAAAATCTGATTCTTAGCACAATCTTAAATTTAGGATTTCTTTGGTGTTAAAATACAAGTAATTAATAGAATTATTAATCAGTTATTATATACTGAGTACTTTGGAAATAGGAAAAAGAAGTACACGGAATAACTGCTTATATTAGTTGGGAAACAAAATAGGCCGAGGCCCTCAGTGAATGTTGTTACAGTGCACACAGTGCAAGATAGTACAGACCCTGGGTCTTACGAACTTCCCCAACTGGGACTATTGCCCTCTAGATACAACCACAAAGCCTGCTACTAGTAAGATTCCTCTCCCTCCCACACTGCCTCATCCCAAAGTTCTTGTTGCTTACTCCACCAGAACTGTTCATGCAAGCAGGCCTGTTACTTCAGTTTTCTGTAGAGATCCATCTTTTCCTCCCCCTCCCACCAGAGCTCATGTAGGCGCCTCCATTGTAGCTTCCACCTTGGCTTTGGCCACTGTGACACAGGTCCCTCTCTTGCCTCTGCCCCTGAGGACATTGACCAGAGCAGTGGAGGGAAAGGAAGAAGAAATTCTTTTTGACATGGAAAGGAAGGGGAGTCTCTTTTACAGACTGCTTTCTACTGAGAGAGATTCCATTGTTCCAAGTTGTAATAAGAAGCTAATTTAGTTCAGTTGCATTGTGTTAAATAGATTTTTCTCAGCAGCTGACAATCCAATCATATTTGCAACATTATTTCTTCAAGGACATGTCTTTCCAGTACCAAACTACCTTAGAAATGAACTTTTGGAATTCAGTCCACCTGTATGTTACTCCATATACAGATATAATTAAGTGACAGAAACAAAATGCTCTAGAGAACATGCATGTACTGTAGAGAGAGGCAGACCTGGCCTAGAATTCCATCTTTACCACTTACAGTTGTACAGTCCTACCACTTGCGTAACCTCTAGGCATTAGTGACCTCATCTATAAACAAGGATAAAATATATCTGGTTAATAGAATTAAAGGAGGTTATGCACTTAAAGTCCTTGGCATGGTATCCGGTAGATAAAAAACACCCAATAAATGGTACTGTAATAAATAAATGTTACATACAAACATTGAACGCCATGGGAATGCACAGACTAGAGGGAAGAAAAAGGTGAGGATTAGAATAAGCAGAACAATCAACTAACCGTGAAAACTGGTTTACTTCTTGATAAATGTTACTTACTTAGTATCTTAATTGAGCATATTGAGGATTGTGAAAGAATAGTTTATGTAATTAAACAAATCGATGTACCAGTAAAGTTGGAGACTTTCCATTCTAGCAGATTTTATTAAAATGATTATTTTTGTTACCCCAAAAAAATACACCTTTCAGTTTTGAGGAACAAGTAAATCACTGAATATTTTCCAAGAAATACAAACATAATTCTGTTTTTTAACGTTCCATGTAGGCTGAATTACTTCTTTCAGAGTAACAGCAATAGGGTTAAAAGCACTTACCTTTTTAAATTGATATTTCTGTAATTCATTTCAGTGCTTTTCTATCATGGTATCAAGGATAGAATTTTATTCGGGCTCCACTACATTTAACAGTTTTATTTTGATTATATGGTGTTTTGGAAGAGATGTTCCAAATTATGTTTTATATTTAATAACAGTTTAGCTGAATATCAACTTCTTTGCTTCAGTTTTTAAAATAATCAGTTATTTTTATATGATGATGATTCTGGTGCATATTTGCTGGTTTTTGGACATATTTTAAAATACAGTCTATTAGGTGGAATAGAACTTTACAACTTGCTTATGACAAATTTCGTGTCTTTCTGACATGTACTCTAGGCAGATGATGTCAGCGCCCTCCTGACAGCAGCCATGCCTCCTTCTGCTCTGCCTTCATGTTATAAACCTCAAGTGCTTAATGGTGTGAGAAGCCCTGGAGCCACCACAGATGCTCTGTCCTCAGGTCCATCCAGCCCATCAAGCCTTTCTGCAGCCAGCAGTCTTGACAACTTATCCGGGAGTTTTTCTGAACTGTCTTCGGTAGTTAGTTCAAGTGGAACAGAGGGCACTTCCAGTTTGGAGAAAAAGGAGGGTGAGACATTCTGTAAAAACACTTTTTAACTGGTAGTTGTCATTTGGAATGCTAAAAAATCATTTTTAACCTTAAATACAACTGTTAGTATCAGATTACTTAACATAGCTAGAATATTTAATCTTTATTGTTTTCTTTACATTATTAATAGAATTACTAATGCAGCTTTCTCCTTCCAAGTTGAGAGCTGATGAGTCTTGTGCTGCTGACCTACTCTTTATATTTAAACCTTTTACCTGTCAAGATTCATCTCACCCTATGCAACAATATGGATCTTGTTTCATAAACTTTTTTGTGAAATAACTTGAAAGATAGGAAGACTGATTTTAAAGATAGTTAAAAATAAAGTTTAGAATAAAAAATGAGAAGTGGGGTTTTTTTGGTTAGTTTTCTGGTATTTTGGTTTGGTTTTTTTGGTGGCTGGGTAGTATGGGGATACAAACCCTTGACCTTGGTGTTATCAGCACCACACTCTAACCAAGTTTTTTTTGGTTAGTTTTCTGGTATTTTGTTTTGGTTTTTTTGGTGCCTGGGTAGTATGGGGATACAAACCCTTGACCTTGGTGTTATCAGCACCACACTCTAACCAAGTGACTTAACCAGCCAGCAAAGAAGTTTTTTAAAACCTGAGAATGCCGCATTGGTTAATTATTTTTTCTAATGTTGAAGTTTTATAGCTTTCTCTTTGGAAATTTTTGATGTTATGTTCAGTATTGTATCCCAAGTGGCTGTTAATATTTTGCTTCATCTTTATTTTATATATATATATGTAAATATCACAAAACTTTATTGTTATAATGTTTCTATACATTATTGTGATGTCAAACTTTGTTCTGGATTTTTTTTTTTTTATTTCCCAGTTCAAGGAGTAGATTTTAGTATAACTCAATTTGTAAGGAATCTTGGACTTGAGCACCTAATGGATATATTTGAAAGAGAACAGGTGAGTTGATGAATTGTGTTGCTTGATTTAGTGTTTTATGGAAACTCAAGGAGAATTTGGGATATACTAGAAATGCCCTGAGCCATGTGAACTATTGGGAGACGGTTTTTTAAGATACTGGAAGTCAGTCACTCTTCAATTTGGCTTGCTCTTGGAATTTCTGTTTATTAGCACATAAAGATTGACTCTCATGTAGTAATAGTGAAATAGCTTTCTTGAATGGAAAGTTTAGCTGAGTAAGTGCCTTATATGAAGTAAGTTATCTCTGAGCTGTGTTTGTTCAGTTCTGTTATGTCAATTACCACCCACTCTAAGCCTGACACTTTGCTGCCTGCTATGGGAAGGTATATGGATATACCAACCATATAACTGGGCTTTTCTAGGCAGTCCCAGTTTAAAGTACTCTGTCAGAATACCTTTCCTGATTTTTTGTTGTTCAGAAAATATAGGTTCTGTAGACTCGTCCCCTAAGGAACTTTTGATCTAGTTCCGGAGCTAGGACAAGAACGTGTGAAGAGTTAAATTTTGGCATAGATTTTAGAAATCCAAAGAAGGAAACCATTACTGTGAGCTGAAGATGTGTAAATAAAGCATGATTTTAAAGAAGGGCTTTAATTTCATGAAGTGGGAATAATGTATTTGAGATGAAAGGTTTGATTTGAACAGTGATGCAGAAGTACTATTTAGCATAGTTGAGACTCTGTGGGAACCATTGAAGGTATAGTATAAAGAGGGTTGGATGTAGAGTGATGGTGAAAAAGATAAAATAATACACTTGAATGTGGTTAATTTGAAAATGCATTTTTCTTTTGTACTTTAGTTCTCAGGTTCTTATGCTAAATGAAAATAATGATATTTTTAGTAGTTCCTGACTCAACTTTGTTTCATTCCAACTTTTCATTTTCTGTTAATTTCAGTTTAACAACTGGTTTGTTTTCATTTCTCAGTTCAAAATAATTTGAACTAAATGTATAAATTGGATATATTATGAGAATACCAATATGAGTGTCCACCAAATGAGTGAGCATTCTAAATAGTTTCATCCTCTTTTGTAAGATCACTTTGGATGTATTAGTTGAGATGGGGCACAAGGAGCTGAAGGAGATTGGAATCAATGCTTACGGACATAGACACAAACTAATTAAAGGAGTTGAGAGACTGATCTCTGGACAACAAGGTATTTCCTTTTGATAATTGCTCTCAGTTTAACAGTTTGCATAAAGGCAGCCCTCATTGTACTGATAATTTAAAAATCTGTATGAGAGAATCTGTTCAATAAGAAGAGCACAAATTGAAACCTAGGATCACGTCCTAACTCTGCTACTAACTGTTAAACTTCCTGAGCTACGGCTTTTAACTGTATGCACCTAAGTAAAATTTCTGGGCCATTCAGAAATTTGCGGATTTCTTTAGCTCCTGAAAATTAGGAATTAGTTGGATAAGATGACTTCTGAAGTTATTCAAGCTCTAAAATTTTATGATTCTAAAAGATCTGGAACTTGGATATCTCATTTCTTGTATTAATGTAATAGATAATGACTAGGTGTTTAAGCTAGCCCATAAAATAATGTGGTAAATATCTTATGTAGCTAAAATTCTAAGCACTTGGAATGAATACTGGAAAAAAATACTGTTGCAACTGAGGAAATTAAACAAAATAGTTGAATAATATTTTTATTTTTCCTCAGTGTTGGTGCTTAAGGAAAGTGCAAATTATATCCATTGAACAGATGTTAACACTGTATACTGGTTTAGGTATAAAAGTTTAATTGTCTTTTTAAGTGTCGAAACCACATTTAAACTTCATTGTTAAACTGAGGGAATAATTTACTGTGGAGTTAAAAAGCATCCTGTAATTGTCCTGGCTGTGCAACTGGGGTTGAGGAGAAACCTCCATTAGGAAAAATGAAGGGATTTTCAGGGAAGGACGTATGCTAGCCAGTATGGGGTCTATTTCTTGAAGAAATAAGAGCACCTCTAAAGATTTAGGTGATTCAAGCTAAGAAATGCTTTAAACTGATATTTTGGAACAGGATCAATTAAAGGTAGATGTCCTTCACTTGCCTGGTAGAGATTAGGGCAGAATTTTTAAATGTGAGGTAATCTTGGCTATTTCTAGTATAGATGACAAGATCTTATAAGATAAAGAGGAGGGAAAACCTGTGGCTCCCTATAATATTAGAATACAATAAAAACAGCATAAAAAATGAAGAGGAAATAGAACCCTCAGTTGTGGACTGCTGTGGGACTCTACTTAGAATAATACCAATCTAGTATGACAGCAATTAAGAGGGAGTACTGGGATAACAAGGGTCTTTAGGAATGAGGCTGGGTGAAAAAGGAAAGCAGGTAGTGTTTATATATTAAACATATCATAATCATTAGGACTGCATTGAACAGCTCGGGAAATAATGACAGAAATAGAAACACTCCAAGTGGCAGAGTTACCTCCATGCCACCTCTGATCCTATATTCACTCTGATACATCTAGCTACAGTTGCATAGGAGCATCCATTCCTACATGGAGGAGAAACATGATTGTGAGACAAATGGCGATGTGTATTAGTCTGTCTCTGTTGCTTATAACAAAATACCCAGGGGTGATTTATAAAGAAAACGAAATGTATTGCTTAGACTTCTGAGGCTGGGAAGTCTAAAGTCCAGTTAACACATCTGGAGGTCTGCACTGGTGGTGGCTTTACAGCAATGCAGGGATCTCACATAGCAGAAAATGGTGGAGCAGAGAGAGAAACTCCATATGCTCTCCTTTTGAAGTCCTCAGAACCACTCTGACCACCCCCTATTAATCCATTCATTAGGACATGGTCCTGCAATCTAATCACCTCTTCAAGGCTCTACCTTTCAATTACCATAATAGGATTTCCCACCCTCAACAGTCACAGTGGGGATTTAAGCTTCAGTGAGATTGGGGGAGGGGGAGACTTCCAATCTGCAGTACCATGTCTGATCTAGCACATCCGGGTCACTTTACTACATAAAGTTACCACCTTCTTCATCTTCATCTGAAGCCAGGATTCTATACTCACACCTGATTTGCAAAGTGGAGCCTGTGACTGCCTGTGATGATCTTCTGACAGTCTCTCATCTTGCTAACCTAACAGCTTTACCTGTCATTCAGTACGTCAAGTTAATAGATTACTAGTACTGATCTTTCAGTACCGATAAACATCTTTTCGGGTAGGTTGTAGATGCCTCAGTCAAGCATTTGTCACAGTCTTTATTCTGTAAAATATTCTCCATATGGTCTACATAATTCCTATAGACTTTGGAATTTAGCCATTTCTATAAGTCTGTATCACAGTCTGGCATGTTAGTGTTAGTCTTATTCTTCAGATCCTAGCTCAGAACCAGAATATTCTCTTAATCTCCAGAAGCAAACTCATGCATTGACCCAGCAGTAAAGGATTTGACCTCTACCTATAAAACAGCAGAGCTTTGGAGACCTTGTTGTAGAGATTAAGGGAGAAAGCTGTTACAAATATGCCAAAAAAACTAGAAAATTCCATTTAAAAAGCTTTTGTGAGGGCCGGCCCGGTGGTGCACTGCTACAGTGCGCCGCTTGGGAGCGCAGAGGTGCTCCCGCCAAGGGTTCGGATCCCACATACAGACCGGCCACTCACTGGCTGAGCGAGGTGCGGGCGCAACACCGAGGGTTGCGATCCCGTTGCTGGTCCCAGTCCGGTACGGGCGCGACACTGAGGGTTGCAATCGATCCGTTGCCGGTCACGAAAAAAGACGAAAAGGAAAAAAAAAAAAGCTTTTGTGAGAGTAAAGATACAGAAGTACATATGGTTATTTTGACCATTGATATTTGGAAAACATGACAAATTCATTGCTGAAGTAAAGAATCTATTATGGGTCAAAATAGGCATTCAATAGTTGGGTAGTAAAGTTTATGGACTCCTCATTCTGGGATGATTTAAAATTACCTGAGTCTATGCAAGTTTCTGTCATAATTCTTCCTCATATTTATAAAGAATGAAGGGATTAAATGCTGAAAGGGCCGCACAGTTAGTGAAGGAAGTAATTTGAAGAAGAAAATTTATTATAAACTCATTGAGAATAGGAGATATGGAAGAGAAAGATTTTTCTGAAATATTCCCACAAAATCATTATAACTTGTCAGGTCAAAAATTAGTAGTCTAAGTGCAGTGTGGTGTCCTGGTCTCTATCCTGGTACAGAAAGAGGATATTAGTGGGAAAAACTAGCGAAATCCAAGTGAAGTCTGTAATTTACTTAATAAGTTTTGACAAATGTACTATGGTTATATAAAATGTTAACATTAGGGGAAGTTGGATTAAGGGTACACAGGAAATCTCTGTACTTTCAACCTTCCTACAAATCTAAATTATCCCAAAATAAAAAGTTTTTTAAAAATTGGTAGTAAGCATTGGATAAGTCAGGTGGTGGTTTTTGATTGATATTAATTGTTTTATTGGCAAAATTTTTTTTACCTTCAAATTTCATTTCGTAGGTCTTAACCCATATTTAACTTTGAACACCTCTGGTAGTGGAACAATTCTCATAGATCTGTCTGCTGATGATAAAGAGTTTCAGTCTGTGGAAGAAGAGGTATGTTCATATACCTTATATAAATGGAAAAAGATAGATCAGCCACATGTATCATTGATTCAGTTGCTAAATTTCCTGGAGGTTTCCAGATCTATATGAACATGTAGTATGTTCCATCTTTACCACCTTGAAAACTTTTGAAATCACGGGCCGGCCTGGTGGCGCACTGCTGTAGTGTGCCGCTTGGGAAGCGCAGTGGCACTCCCGCCGAGGGTTCAGATCCCACATACAGACCGGCCGCTCACTGGCTGAGCGAGGGGCGGGAGCAACACCGAGGGTTGCGATCCCGTGGCCGGTCCCGGTCCGGTACGGGGGCGACACTGAGGGTTGCGATCTGTTGCCGGTCACGAAAAAAGACAAAAAGGAAAAGAAAAAAAAAACTTTTGAAATCAGCATTTAAGATTTAAGGGTACGCTCCCTCAATAAACTTTAATTCCATCTACTTGGTTCAGCACTACAGTTAATACTAATAAAGAATTCTCTTGGAGAAGGGATTGCTGTCATTTGAAAGAAAATGCTGATGTTTCCTCCTTTCTGCAAATGAAGGTAATCGTAAGGCCTAGTATCTCGGACAAGACCCAGAAGATGTGGATACTACTTATCCAGGAAAATTAGCTTTCAACTTTCTTTCCAAAAAACTCTTGAATCCTCTGAAATCTTTGAATAGTACACTTTGAAGAACACATACCCTATGTGTGTGAGTTGAGCACGGAAATATAAAGTTTAGTAAGACTTAGTTCTAAAACTCAAGAAACTCCAATTCTCAATGAAATACATATCGTGCTTTATTAGGCCAAAATCAATAGGAACAAATAAATCATGGTTTTGTTTAGTATGTCAGTTGGTTAGCTTTATATGTTTAGCTCATCTTGCATCTTCTTTTTTTTTTTCCTTTAGTTTGCATTATGTAGTTTTCACCTGTAAATATTATTTTCAGGTTGATTGACTAATAGCTATCTCTAAAAGACAGTACTCATGAATTTATAAAACTCATATACTTTAAACAACGAAAATGTTAAAACCTATTTTGTATTCTCAAAAATAGAATCAGATGGGGCAAGAATTGTGTTCTCAAGATTAGGAAAGACATAAAAGCTAATGCACATATATATCAAATTATTCTTCCATCAGATGCAGAGTACAGTTCGAGAGCACAGAGATGGAGGCCATGCAGGTGGAATCTTCAACAGATACAATATTCTTAAGGTAATAATAAGTTAGTGCAAATGAAGTTTCCTGAGACCATAGTTTTCAAAGCCCGAAGCTATAACTAACTTTCATGAGAACATAATGAATGATCTATCCAGCCCATTACATCTTTGACAAGGCATTGGGGAGGATATATCCTTGGAAGGTTAAGATTCTCAAAGTCCCTATACTGTATTTAATAACCAATAATAAATCATCCCTTGTTGAACATATTCCAGATTAGGGGTTATGCTCTATCTTGGGACAATGATAAATCCTGTAGATTCAGGACTTTTTAAAGTATTATTAAGCTACCCTGTTGTAATGAAGCTGAATTTTTTGTGTCTTGAGAAAGGACTCCATTTTTATAATCAACACCATGCTTTTGTTGTTGTTGGTTGTTATCCTGTGACTACTCCAGGTTTCTGGGAGTCCCCAGACATGTCACCTTTTTAAAATTTTAATAGTACTTCCTCTTTATCTTTTCCATAAAACAGTCTTTTAAGAATGTTTGAGTCATTCTATGAGAGTCCTGTCTTATTGATTTTAATTATTCTTCTCAAGACTTTTTCCAACTTTGCTATGTTTTTCAGGACTTAGGGTTAGAATTAAAATGTCATAAATGAGGGCCAGCCCGTGGCTCACTTGGGAGAGTGTGGTGCTGATAACACCAAGGCCACAGGTTTGGATCCCTGTATAGGGGTGGCCGGTTAGCACACTTGGGAGAGTGTGGTGCTGACAACACCAAGTCAAGGGTTAAAATCCCCTTACCGGTCATCTTTAAAAAATATATATATATACACATATGTCACAAATGATGTTCTCACAAAAATTTAAAAAGAAAGATACAATAATCACAAGTAATACATTAAACTTTCAAAAGGAGAGAACAGAACTGAAGTTACCAGAAGTGGGAAAGGGGTATGAGGAAGGGGGGTTAAGGGAGGAATCAATAAAGGACAACAAAAAATGACAACATTGTATAATATTAAATATACTAATCATCCTGATGGGAACATCATATATTGCACACAGGTATTGATATGCAACTCTGTACCCCACAGACATGTATAAATTATGTTTTAATTAAAACAAAAACAAAAAATATGGCAAATATCTTTAATATGTAAGTTTTAAGCTCAGTGATCAGTATCAAATAAGACAAATAATTATGCCTATTACAGGCAAATTTCAGTCAAGTCCACTTTACCTACAAGCATTAACAAAATGTTCAGAGGTTTGTTAAGGGTAAGGGCAGGGGAAAGAATATGTGTTTGATTCCTAAAGTAGTTGGATTTGAGAAGGATAATTCTGTTCTTCCTCTATAAAGATATTTTAATGCAATAGTTAATTAAAATTTTTTCAGTGATAAAATGTTTTATTTTTGTTGTGTTTTTTTTTTTTATAATACATGAGATCTTTTTATGCCAGTATGATCTTTAATACATCTGTGGCAATATTTTGAGTTATTCTGAGCCAAAATTAAAACCTCCAGCTCACAGTTGTGGTGCTCTAGGTCTCAGCAGGGGGCTGTAGCACCTTTAAACAGAGCTAAAAAATAGTACTGATTGTAAATTTTAACCCTAGAAAAACTCCTAATGAGATCAGCATCTATCTTTAAATTTTCTCCAGACAAAAATTTTAGGAATTGGAGGGTAGAGGAAGTGATAAGGATATGTGTGTTTGTGTTTTAAGAGTGTTTTTTTGTATGTGTCTATTTCAAATATTTTTAATTAAAAACAGATTAAGATGGGGCCGGCCCGGTGGCGCACTGCTACAGTGCGCCGCTTGGGAGTGCGGCGGCACTCCCGCCGAGGGTTCGGATCCCACATACAGACCGGTTCCCGCTCACTGGCTGAGTGAGGTGCGGGCGTAACACCGAGGGTTGCAATCCCGTTGCCGGTCCGGGTCCGGTACGGGCGCGACACTGAGGGTTGTGATCAGTTGCCGGACACAAAAAAAGACAAAAAAAAAAAAAAAGAAAGAAACAGATTAAGATGGTACTTTGAGCCAGATAAAGAGGAAGGAAAAAGATACTATTCTTTTTCTAATATATACATACAGAACTTGGCATGTCTGATTTGGAGGTGTTTTAGTAATAACTTTAAATTAAGAATGGAAGTATTTTAAGCAATTAACAGTGTTTTTGATCTTTACATATGGCCATATGTAATTTTTTTCCCTTTGTAGTTTTTGATTTACAAAATGTATGTATACTTCTATCATTGGGACAAAGTGTTCTTAATTGAATAAAATGACATATTTTACATTTCAGAGAAAAGTTTTGCCTCCCTTCTAGCTAAATAAATACGTGGCCTATATTTTGGTTAAGATGAAGTAATAGGTAAGTAATTTTTAAGACCTAAAGATTTGATTTTTCTGGTTTATTTTTTATAGATTCAGAAGGTTTGTAACAAGAAACTATGGGAAAGATATACTCACCGGAGAAAAGAAGTTTCTGAAGAAAACCACAACCATGCAAATGAAAGAATGCTTTTTCATGGTGAGATTCCTCTCTCCCAACTCCACCACTATCCTCCTCTGCATTAGGGTAGTTTTTTGGTCAGGTGTGAAATAATAATGAATCACTATATCCTTCATGTCATTTTTTAAATAAACCTAGTATTTCTGTAAATTCTACATTTATATTCATACTTCCAACTTCTTTTGAATTTGAATATTTTATAATAGATGGTTTGTAAATAAGATCATCATAATAGAAAAAATGTAGAAATGAAAGGTTGACTAATTCATATTTTCCTTTTTTCTTTATATAGTAGATTTTGCTCATTATGATCACTCTAAGAAATTGTGTTTTACCTTTTTTTTTTTTTTTTTTTTTAAAGATGACTGGTAAGGGGATCTTAACCCTTGATTTGGTGTTGTCAGCCCCACGCTCTCCCAAGTGAGCCAACCGGCCATCCCTATATAGGGATCCGAACCCGTGGCCTTGGGGTCATTCACACTCTCCCAAGTGAATCATGGGCCAGCCCATGTTTTACTTTTAACTAGTTGAATTAAAATAAGACCTGAAAATCACCTCAGATTTTGATTCTAAGTGTTAAAACTGCATTTAACTTCAGTGTTAAAAGAGCCGTTGTTGAACCATTGGAAGTTTCTGATAACTCTTGTTGAATTGAGAGAACTATTATTTACCATTCTTGAAATTTCCCATTTTTCTATGTCATAAGCTAGCAGATGGTGATTGGTGTTTGAAGTTTATAGCAAAGTTAAGTAGTGTTTATCAGGCCTTCAAGCTCACTACCCATAGTAGCTCCAGTCTGTTCCTTCATTGGTCCTTGATTACGGAAAACTTTCAGAGACCTGTAAAGTTCTGTAAAACACAGTATTTTAATTTCACAATACCCTGGAAGAAAGGCTAAAGCAGAATAGGTTCATGTGCAATATCTAAGTGGTACTTCTCATTCCAAAACCCTACAAAAGTCATCATGATAATCTCTTGGCACAGAACATAGTATATATTTATGTATTAACTGGACGGTTATAATGAGTGACTTTTCTGTTTTATAGTTTAAATAGTTTTGATTTTTCCAGGTTAATTCAAAAAGTGATTCTATTCATCCACATTTCTGTAAAGTGGAATTCAATATATTTTCTTGTCCCTTTATGAACAGGGACACTCATCTTGATGAATCAGTTAGTCATGTTGTTTTGGCTTTTCCTAACCCCCACCCTTTTCCTAACTCCCTGGCCTTGTTCCTATGCTCAATACCTCGTCTATGGCTAGGCCCCCACTTCTTGGCTCACATGCAAGAGAAGAGGGAAAAGAAGTCAATTTGCAGGGAATGAGGGAAAGCGCCACATTTGCAGATGGAATCTTGTATAGCAGGTGATGAAAAACAGAGAAGTCAAAGATAGAAGAGACGAGGTATAAAGAAGAGAATAAGAATATGAAAGGCTTCTTGGGCCACTTCTGATACCTAGAAAAAGTATACAGGCATGGGCATCATTGTAAGACCTAATTGCCTTCACTCTTGCTGTATGAGGTAAATTTTGAGACTCTAGGTACTGGATCTGTATGGATTTGGGGTCTAGAGTTTGATAACTCTTGAACTGATATTTCTGTTTGTTTTTCTACTTGAATCTGTGTCCTTATTTTGGCATCTGAACCACCCCCTTGTTAGAAAAATTAATTGACATTAATAATTCTTTATTCTACAATAGTGAACTGGCTGACAGGGAACTGTTACCCTTTCTTGTTTTAGCTTTATTGAGGCAGTGCATGTTTAAGAATTTAAGTTCTAAATGGCTTTAGTTTTTGCTTTTTCTTCTTGGATAAATTTTGAATTGTTGTTTCTCATCTATGTGTATTTCAGGGTCTCCCTTTGTGAATGCAATTATCCATAAAGGCTTTGATGAAAGGCATGCATACATCGGTGGTATGTTTGGAGCTGGGATTTATTTTGCTGAAAACTCTTCCAAAAGCAATCAGTATGTATATGGAATTGGAGGAGGTACTGGGTGTCCAGTTCACAAAGACAGATCTTGTTATGTTTGCCACAGGTAAGCAATCACTTGTTCTCATTTATTTTGATAAGAATCAGATAAGAATTGTTTACATATTTGAGAAATGTTGGGGGCAAGGCATTGTGTTGGGCAGCTTTAGGAATCCAAGCTAGGAATGTGTTAGGCTGCTTTTGGACCTTTCACCAGTTATAATCATAGCTAATATTTATTAAGTGATCCGATGGGCAAAGCATGATTCTAAGCACTTGTTATTAGAACACCTGTGGTTTAAAGAATACTGACTAGAAATACCATTGAGCATGAAAGAGGCTTTATTGTAGCCCTTGAATATCATAGGACTGTAGACTCTAAAAATCTAGTATTCAAATGTTAAAATGATATTGTATGCCAAGTTTAATCATTTTATGAGAGTTCCTGAAGGAGTTTCTCTCCATTATGATATGATCCTGATCCTCAATTTGTAATATTACTACTGGAAGAGTTACAATTAAAACACGTCAATACCTTTAGAAAGCAAATAATTATCAAATAACTACTTTGCACTTTTTTTTTTTTTTTTACTTTTAGTTACCTGTTCTGTCTCAGTTGTTAAAAATCATTCAAATAATTTGGCCCTAATTTATAAAATCCTCGTAGGCAAATAAATTCTGTCATTTGAAAAATCAAGATTAATTACTACTGGGCCGGCCCGGTGGCGCACTGCTACAGTGCGCCGCTTGGGAGTGTGGTGGCGCTCCCGCCGAGGGTTCGGATCCCACATACAGACCGGCCGCTCACTGGCTGAGCGAGGTGCGGGTGCAACACCGAGGGTTGCAATCCCGTTGCCGATCCTGGTCCGGTACGGGCGCAACACTGAGGGTTGCGATCCATTGCCGGTCACGAAAAAAGACAAAAAGGAAAAAAAAAAAAAAAGATTAATTACTACAAGATTTATTCTACAAGATCAAAAGTGGTAGTTATCAAATATTAGCATGCATCAGAATCACCTAGAGAGCTTGTTAGTGCCGGCCTGGTGGCTCACTGGAGAGTGCGCCGCTTGGGAGCGCGGCGGCGCTCCCACCGAGGGTTCGGATCCCATGTGGAGACCGGTTCCCACTCACTGGCTGAGCGCAGTGCAGGCGCAACAGCGAGGGTTGCGATCCCGTTGCTGGTCCCCGGTACGGGCGCAACACCGAGGGTTGCTATCCCGTTACCGGTCAGTAAAAAAGACAAAAAAGGG